GTGGTGGTGACTAGCTGCCTTCCCTCTAGTCTTACACTACTAAATTAGGGACAGCTAGTGCAGATAGCCCACGTGTAGCTTTGAGCAAAATTCATTAACAAACAAATAGTCCACTCTTCTGCTCCCTTCTTCTTCAGCCTCATACTTCTATCTTCCATTCAGTTGTGTCATCACTCTAGCTTCATATGTGAGACTGGTCTAGTCCCTTGCACAATGGTTCGGATTATTTTCATATGTAGCCCTCCACCTGTCTCATTCTGTTTGTCAGTTCTCCAAAGAAGTTTATCGATGGAAGTGGCATATTTATCGCTGCTTGTTTATGCATTGATCTGTTTTGTCCTTCTGTTCTTCATATGGCTTTAGACCAGGGCTTGTGTATCTTGACAATTGCTGGTTACTGAGCAGCAATCTCGGCTACTTTCCAGTTTCACATTTCTGTTGGGTTTTTTTCTTCCCTTGTCTTTACTATGCTCTTTCACTCCTTTCACCTCCATTGACTTTCTCATTCTCCTAGCCTACCTGACTGGGACCATTATGTTGTTCTCCATGCCCTTACCCTACACTCTTTTTTTTTTTTGAATCTGGCTTCCTGTTCATTATACTATCTGTCCCTTAAAACATGTTATTTCTTCTCTTTCTTGCATTCCATTCCATTGTTGTTTTTTCCTTTTCTACTTGGATTGTGCTTTTCTCCCTAAAATGTCTGTGGCGTATGAGGGTAAAGGTGAATTAAATCTTTTTTCTTTTCTTTCCGTTTCACATCTTTATTCCCAATCACCTTCTCTATCCTGTTTGTATGGTTTGTTGTTATGTTTTTTTGTGGTTGCAGATCCCTCATTTTCATTCTGTGGAATCCTTCAACCTCTTGTGATCTTTATTCTGTTACTCTCTGATGGGTCTGACAGCTTATCAGTTTATCATTTTCTTCATTGAATAGAGGTGCATGTCAGCATTTCCAGTTGACCTATTTTTAAAAGCAGGCCAGCACTAGGTTTTAACCCAATGGCCCTCAGTACCATTTTTAAATTCCTTTCTGTACTTTATTTTCAATATATATTAATGAAATTAACATGTATATATAATGTATGTAATAATTTGAATTTTTTGTGTTATCTAAGTTATAATTACTTATTTCAAGAAACCTTTTAATAAAACACTTAAATTTCAGTTTTCTTGTCACGTGACCCACACGCTATTGAAAATCTCAACTTCAGCAGAGGTTCACTGTTAGCCACATAAGCTGGCAGTGTACATGTATTTGTAAACTATGGATGTTTGACCTACTTGCCATGTGATACCAAAGTTTACAACTGCTTTGTCTGGGAAACAGTTGTAACTTTTCCAATCCTTAATGGGTGCCATGCCCACCTTCTGTACTTTGCCTTGAAATCTACAGTGTACACGTAGTTTGTAGAAACAAGTGTATATACTCATTAGAAAGAGATCAGTTTACACTATACACCACCAACAGTTAATTTGAAATTGGTGCACAGTTTTCCTCAAAGTGTACTTGTAACTGCTATTAGTATTCTTGTCTGCTTGATTGACTATAGCATTTACGGTGGTTTCTTATTATAAGTATGCTATAGTTAGAGAAACTGTTGAATTGTATTTAGCTCTTACTATTATATTTTAATTAATTATGTATTATTTGTGTTTTAAGAATCATATTTGAATGGTTTAATGATTTTAATAAATGTAACTTGTTGCTTGGATTGTACAAATGAATAATCAAGATGGGGTCATTAGCATGTGCAAAGTGTGAGTGAAACGAGTCTCTTCACGGAAATCACAGTGTAATAATGATAAAGCCCTGCAGGCACCTGTCGACATATCACCATTATTGATTAAAAACAAAGATTTGAAAAAAAAAAATTAAAAATAAACTATAAGTGAAAAGATAAAGATGTGAAATTATGCACATTAAAAAAAAAACAAATTTCAAAGGACTTCTATGAAGAGCTAACAGGTATGTACATATTCCCATTTTTTAATTTTAAACATTTGTTGCAATGTATGTTGATGATAATAGGTAGAATTAGTCATATGGTAGACAAAATGGAAAATGAAATATAAATGTTGACCTTAAAAAACTTCTGATATTCATTTAGGAGGTTCCAGAGATTATGCAAGTGAAATGGGAAACAAACTGCAAGATAAATAGTATTTTTATACTACATTGTCTATTGGAGGAGATTTTTTGGGCTTACATGTGGATGACCTCTCGTGCCTTTGTTGCACACTATCTATCATTTGGCTGTTTCTTCCTCATTGGGTTATAGACTGCCTTTGGTCACTACTCTTCACGCAATGTACTTTCTCTGACTGGTTTAGTCATTTCAGTTTCTTACCCTTTTTATTTTACAAAGCCCTCTAGTTCCTTACAGAATTACCTAACCAAAATATGCACAGTATAAGGCTGTTCTGGCTTGATATAGTGCTCATCCATGAGACCACTTGAGGTATCCTCATATTTCTCATTTTCCTAAACAAGGCCTGATCTAGTCCATAACCCCTCCTGGACTAGCATGAGTAAAGCATGTAGGAGATTCCTGCTCATCCTCCATGCCTAATTTAAAACTTAGTGCTGGCCTGCTTTTAAAAGTAGAATTTTCGTGGTCACACTTTGCACTGTCTTACAATAATGTGCCCCTCTGGACTTCCTGCCTTTTTTTTTCTAATGGAACATGGGAGTCTTTGCTACTCACTTGCTCCTAGTCACTGGGGAGGTGGACCGTGGATGCTGCCTCCTGAGTGTAACCAATGCCACTTAGGGTGGTGATGTTCTGTCCATGTAGTACATTTCACCCCTCTGCATGGTCTGGTACTGGATTGGTGCAGGACCAGCCAACATAAGTCCTCACTCAGTTGCAGGACAAATTTTACTTTCCCATTCTGCCTCACTGGACTTGAAGTGTTGATGGTAGGGACTCTCCTCCTATCACAGCATGGATGCTTAATTCAAGGTGAAAAAAGCCTAATGCAGGTTCTGAAGTGTGCTTGTATCTTCTGCCCATTCTTGTGGCACTCCCTTTCTGGTCAAAGAGTGTACCCTGCTACAAATAAAGTGTAGTCTCCCATGGGTGTGCCCCTATGCTATTCCAAGGTGTAGGATATCTTAATGGGTTCCCTATGGTCACTTCCTGAAGGGGCTCATCTAGGTAAAATTTTGCACCAATCACCACTCCACCACTTTAATTGCTTCTAGCTAAATATTAGAAGAGGTTATGTATTGTATCAGAATACCTCTTCTCACACTTCCCACCCAGCCTTCCCAATTCTGGTGCATCTTACTTACTTGTCCTAATCTCAAAGTGATGATTTAAACAATCAGTAAAGAGGAAGGGGGTGTCACACTACTTTTGGAAGACAGTTGTCACATGCTCGTTTGCATGTAAAAATGCAGCAATATCATGCGGAAACACGAAGTAAGGTGGGAGCCTCAAGGTTAGTAGTGGACAAAAAAATTTTAATATAGAGGGAAGAACTGAGTTGGAAAAGCTAGATGTGAGAAGAGTGTGTATCTAATGGAAATACAGTTTCAATGTTGGAAAATGTTAACTTTCATCACCTATTGTCCACAAACTCATAATGTATATAAATAAATGGATCTGTGAAGATAGACAAGAAACAATTTATTCTAGAATGTTTCGTTTTTTTTCAGCCAAGCAAAGTTAGACCAATGAGTGCATACATGTTATGGTGTCGTGAAAATAGAAAGAGGATTGTGAGGGAGAATCCACAACTTGGTAAGTTGTTCTTAGTATCAAACCATCAGGTAATCATAGGAGTGGAAATAGGACCTTTTAACCAAATGTGCATAAGTTTGGTTCATTCAACTGCCCCCATATTTTAGAAAGAATGTTGACTGTAATTCTAAACTTACTACATGTATCTACATGAAATTTTGCAAGTTTTTATTATCCCTATTGCCATGGGTATCCTTTATTGTGCATGACACAAGGTTTAAGTGTCTTACATTTAACATTTTATTTAACTACTTTTTGTTTATATTATACCAAGTAGTATAGCATAAAATCATAGCTAATAATCCATAATTTAATAAAATTTAAGTTTTAAGTTCTTAATTTTATATGACAATATTTAAAAATGTTTGAATTTCCCCTAGTGTGACAACCGTGGCACATTTTCTCTAGGTATGTCCTCTTCTCTATTTTATCCACCACCCCTCCAATAATTACAAAATTAAACATAAATATCATCTATAACCAATAGAAAGCCAATGTTTTCTTCTATCAAATTACTGTTATATTATATTGTGTTCTGAACAGGTAATCGTCAATTTCACTTGTAATAAAAGTCTCGTTCCGATGGGAAAGACAACAACTAGCTTGGATGAATTTTTAATGACATTTGTCACATAGTTAGAAAGTCAGAAAAATTGTGATTGTTAGAGGAAATTGTATGCTTTTAGCATGTTATTATTGTATGTTCTTTGGTTCATTGTATAATTAAATAAAAATTATTTTGTGCATTACTACCATTAGTATAAAAAAAGTAGGGTTAATAAGTGTCATGGACAGTCAAGAGCAAAAAACAGACACGGGTAAGTACTATAATTCTAGTTTTTCATGTTTATTCTTTATTTATTATTATAAAAGTAACTAAAATGTAAAAATAGGGATCTCTTTTAAGTTGGTTAAGGTTAGATTAGATAAAATAAATAATAATAATATAGTAAACATATTTCAGGAAACATGCATGTGAGAAGCTTGGAGTAGCTCATGGGCTATGTAATTCGATAGTGTAATGTGAGCTGCATGTTCCCCCCAGTGATTTACAACTTATAATAGCAAAAGTAGTAGTTAGACACTGTTCAAGCGCAATAAAATGATAACATTTGATTATAAATAGATGTATACTGTTATGATTTTAAAGTTACTTAGGATAAATGAATGTAGTTTCATGTAAAATTTTAAGTCATTCTAGAAAGAAAAAGAAGTTAATTTAGATTTATTTCGATTTTTTTGGTAGTTATGAGGACAGTCAAACTGACCAATCTTGTATAGAGAAAATAACAGATAAAATATAAAGTTTTACTGAGAACAAACACTTGAAATGTATTTAAGAGGTTTAGAGATTACACAAATGAAATTTGAGATTTTTGAGATGAAGAAAAGTATTTTTAATCTTAACATGAAAATCATTTTGCACACGGAGTATTCAAAACAAATTCTTGATATATTCACAGACAAATATTTTACTTCACTAAAAAAAATATGATTTTTTATATGTGAAAGACGTATAATGTTTACTGAAAGACTGCCAAATTTTGTGAAGATATACATGCTATATTGAAAGTTAATAGTATCAAATCTATAAAGACTGTGAACGAGTACAAAGAGGTCACATGCTCGTTCAAATTGACAGAGCCTGTATTGAGAGAGTTAACATATACAAGTCTGTTGTACATAAAAAATCAGATGTGTTATAAAAGTATGCGTTCTCAAGATACGTGTGAACTGGTGACATCTGTCTGACTCAGACTCTTAACAAGTAGTAGTACAACGCAATGAAGAATAAAAATACTTGTCTATCATACAGTTTGTATATTACATTTTCAAAACATCTAGAATCTTACACATGCATGTTTAGTTTTTTTCTGTATTTTTCTATATTGTATTTGTTAATTACTCTCCTCTTAACACACACAATTTCTAAATTGATAATGTAGAGTAAAATTAATATCTGGTATTTTTGATATCAAATAACTAATACCATGTTGAATGCCACTTTGTAAAAGGTTGGGGCATGTACACTTGGAATCCCAACCATGCACATAGGGTTAATATTGATGGAGTATTAGATGTATGGGGTTTATCTAGCCTTTAGTTATGCAGACTTATGGATGAATGATTAGGTGACAGAGTGCCCAAATAGAAGAGGGTTATTTTGTTTAAGTTAATAGTTAGATAAATAGGTTAATTATAAAAGAAAGTACAGCTTGACTCTTTGATGATCAAATGAATGAATGTTAAGATTAGAGGAGTGAAATATATTTTAACAGATAAATCTTGAAATATATACCATATTTTTTCAGAATATAAGACGTACCCTTATTTTGAAGACAAAGTTTTGGGGAAAAAAAAGCTATAGTTGCATTTGAAAGATTTTTATTGAACAAAAATTCAATTTGATACTTCAAAAATTAGTATATATTGTTCTAAATACAAGAGAGCTCAAAACATCAAAATGAGAAAATACCGTAAATCAAAAAAAGTTTACTGTTATTTAGTTTGATTCAAAACCTACAAAATCTTCATTGCTTTCACTGTAATTTATTTTTTTATTATTTAGGGAGCATTATAAATAGTTATGTTTTTAAAAGAAAAAAAACTATTGTTATAAATAACACATTCAATTAAACTAAACTATGCATGCCCATTTAAATATATTTACACATGGCTTGTGTGTATATCTTATATATACATATATATTATTCATACCTTCGGTGTTTAGGAAGCAAGCAGATTTTGACATCAAATTTTGGGGTAAAAAAGTGCATCTTATACACCGAAAAATACGGTAATTAAAGGAAGTACCCTGTTATATAAAACTTCAATCTAATTTATTTTCAGACATACAGAGTGTATTACCTATGGTTACAATGTTTCACGGGTTAACTTGGCATTATCAGGTACAACAACTATAATGAGTGAACTTGTAATCTAGATAACATGAAAAAATAGTGGATGAATACATTGGAATTTGATTTGTTGAGCTTAAGACTACAGAACATGAAATAGATGTTGAAAACTTGTCAATATGCTGATGCTGTTGTATTTTTGTACATGAGGTGTCTTGATCATAAAATCAGTCAAAGTAATATATACAACTATAAATTATGTCAAAAATTATGGAAGTTTTGTTACTCCAAAGGTTGCCAAACTTCATATACTTTTAAAGGTCAATTTAAGCTGTGCTTATTGGGAAAACAAGCTAATGTTGAAATTTTTATATTGTTAGTATAGTGATATAATTGAAACACACACAAAGTAATTTTAAAAATACATATCAAAAGTTCTGTTATTCTTACCATTGTATTAGAATTTGTGATAAAATTCAAACAACTCAGCTATTACATTGCAATATGGCAGTATAAACTTTTAATATTGAGCTAGTTGTAGTCTGTTAGTTTTTAACAACTTTTTAGTACTGAGAATGACTTATACCATCATAAAGTTCTGTTTCTTCAAAATTATTTAATTACCATTGTACACTAATTACCTCTTGCCACTGCTGTGAATATTTCTGTGCCTGCCTATGATGCTATCATTATTACACTATAACCCACCACCAGTAGGAAAGTGACACATCTTGCAGGTGTAGTAATACCCACAGCCACCAGCATTTGAATAGATGTATTATTCTGATGAGTTAATGGCAATTTTGCACTTATTATTTTAACCTTTCATTACCAATCGTACTCTTTCTTTCCTTAATTTTTTTATTATATGATTATAGGTATACCAAATTTTAAATACTGTAGTTAGAATTTTGATTCAAATTATCTTGAATATTTTTTTTTTTTTTGTAATTTTGGAACATGTGTCCCATCATCTGTGGTAATGTGATAAGATTTTTTTGATAATACTAATTCCCATTATTTTAACCCAGCATACAGGATTTGTTAAGTAATCTTCAACATTGTCATTTAGGCCTATACACTATTAACATACTAACTTTGAGGTTCTGATATGTTCTAACAAGAATCATCTGATAATATAATAGTAACTGGAAACACTGTGGTTATCTGTGGTGTTCCTGCCATTGTGCACCAGGTGATTAGTTCCACTCTGATTATGGATCCAGGATTCCCAACCTCCTGTTTCTGGTACTTCAGCTGATCCTGCCCCAATTTTTGATAAGTTTCTTTTTCATCTCTGCATGGGTTACATGTGTATCTTTTGGGCTAGCTTGTTACATGAACCTCCATCACTTGAGTCTCCTCTTTCAACTTGGGGATCTCCTTTTTTTCCTTCTTTTCCCCTCTTTCATTCTCCATTGTCTCCTCTTTGTCTTTTACTTACTCAACTTCTTTGCTGTCGGGCCTACACTTTCTTTTACAAGTTTTTCATTGTGACCCTGTCAGCTTTATTGGGAAAACTTGCAATTTTTTTTTTCACTTCTACCCTTTTTTTGTGATGAGGTTTTTTCGGAGATTTTTTTTATAGAACAGTCATCACTACTTACTTAGGTTTCTTATCCTCTACAGCCTTGTTGGGTCACCCTTTATTCTATTCCGTCTTCCTCTTATTATCCAATGCCCTTCCCCCGAGAGCTGGCTGTCATGAGTCTATTAAGTAACTTATATTTGAAGCTGACCCTTGGCTCTGGTCTAGTGGGAGCTCAGCCCTTCCACTGAGGACTCCCTTTGCTGCAGACTACTGGGTTACTCAGATGCTTTCTTAGTGGATATTCCATGTTCTTCCACTCTATCTCACATAATTTAGGATGCCACTGAACAATTCCTCGACCCCACTCTGGGGTTTTACTCATGTCTTTTTGTCATTTTTACAAAGACACCAGGTTGATGTTCTTGAACCAACATTGATCTTTCCTTAGTTTGAGATGGATGGTTTACTCACTCTGCTGTAGGTACTTTCCTGTATTGTGGAGGACCCAGATCGAGGACTCAAATGCCTTCTCTTCATCACATTTTGCTTCCTTCTGTTCACAGTGGTCAAACATTTGATTCACATCCCTTCCTTTCAAGTTGGCTACAGTT